ATTCTGGGATCTTCACCAGTAGCTTCCCAGGGCCTCTGGCCTCTGGCCTTAGGCTGAAAGTTATAGTTTCTGTTTTCTTGATTCTGAAGCTTTTGGTATTGAACAGAGCTTCACTGCCAGAATCCTAGGGTCTCCAGCTTGTGGATGGCCTATCGTGAGATTTCTCAGCAATAGTCAAGTGAGTCAGTTAAATCCCCTGTCCTGTGTCTAGGTCTACAAGTGCCCTCTGGATCTGTTCCCTGGGGAGCCCTGGCTAATACAGACTAGGAGATGTAAAACCTCTCCACAACCACAGGATCAGCTAGCAAAAAGTCCCTACTGCTACCAGCTGAGCTTAGCAAGATCACAGGATACAAGATCAGTAACAAGCATCAAATTTGGATATAACAATAAGAGATGATTCTAAAGCATTATGAAAATAGCACCAATAACTCAAAACACATGAAAATCTATAAACTGAAAATTACATTCTGATGAAGATGATGCACACTGTTGAAATAAAAGAAGACTTAATTAGACATTTTCAAAGCTATGTGTGGGTTCTACATGATCTCACTCAAAATCCCAGCAGGACCGCCATAGAAACTTGACAAACCTATTCTATATACATAGAAATGCTAAAGACCCAGGATAATGGCAAGGAGTTCAGGAAATAACAAAACTGGAAGACAGCAATGAGCCACAGACAGACACTCCCAATTGTCTCCACCTTGCTCATCTCAGGCAAAGTGAGTTCTCATCCCCAAACCACTACTCCCTATAGAGGCCTCCAGTAGGGAATAGGGGTAGGGGAAAGGTTCCCCTTCTTCTAATTTCAAGTCATTGCTATGGCTAGATCATCACCCACCCACCTAAGCCATCAACACTGACTACTTTGAGCCTGCTGCCATTGGCTCTGATAGCCTCTGACTTGAGATTGTTTTTTACAACGATCAATACGAAGGTTGAGAGAATGTTTCATTTGCCTTCAATTCTTTTTTTTTCCTTTTTTAAAATTATTTTTATTGATGTTTTTATTTTTTTTTCACTTTACATTCCAATCACAGCCCCCTCCCTCTTCTCCTCCTGGTAAGACCTTTCCATCCTCTTCTTCCTCCTGCTCCTTCACCTTAGAAAAGGGGAACGCCCCTGACCCCATACCAATCTAACCCAGCCTATCAAGTCGCATCAGGACTAAGAGTATGATCTTCCACTGAGGCCAGACAAGGCTGACCAGCTATGGGAAAGTGATCCAAAAGCAGGTAATAGAGTCTAAGTCTGAGACAGCCCCCTGCCCTGCCTGCTGTGTGGCCCACATGAAAACCAAGCTGCCCATCAGTTACATATGTGTTGGGGGCCTAGGTCCAGCCCATGCCTGCTCTGTGGTTTATGCTACAGTGTCTGGAAATGCCTGTGGGCATAGGTTAGCTGACTCTGTTGGTCTTCTTGTAGAGTTCTTCATAGGATCAGCTTTGGGAAGTTGGTCTAGGGTTCTATAAGGAAGTAGGATGAGCAAGCTACGTAAGCAGCACTTCTCCATTGCCTCAGCATGAGCTCCTGCCTCCAGATTCCTGCTCTAACTTCTTTCTTTTATAAAATTAATTATAGTTTATTAACTTTGTATCCCAGCTGTAGCCCCCTCCCTCATTCCCTCCCAATCCCACCCTCCCTCCCACTCATCTCCTCCCATGCCCCTTCCCCAAGTCCACTCATAGGGGAGGTCCTCCTCCCCTTCCGTTTGACCCTAGCCTATCAGGTCTCAGTGACAATACATGCTGGAGAGGTTGTGGAGAAATGGGAACCCTCCTTCATTGCTGGTGGGAATGTAAACTTGTACAACTTTGGAAATCAATCTGGTGCTTTCTCAGAAAATTAGGAATACTGATACCACTCCTAGGCATATATCCAAAATATGCTCAAGTATACAACAAGGACATTTGCTCAGCCATGTTCGTAGCATCTTTATTCCTAATAGCCAGAATCTGGAAACAACCCAGATGTCCCTCAATGGAGGAATGGATACAGAAATTGTGGTACATTTACACAATGGAATACTACACAGCAATTAAAAACAAGGAAATCATGAAATTTGCAGGCAAATGGTGGGAATTAGGAAAGATCATCCTGAGTGAGGTATCCCAGAAGCAGAAAGACACACATGGTATATACTCACTTACAAGTAGATATTAGACATATAATATGGGATAAACATACTAAAACCTAAAGAAGCTAAACAAGAAGGAGGACCCTGGGTAAGATGATAAATCCTCACTCAGAAAGGCAAATGAGATGGACATCAGAAGAGGGAGAAAACAGGGAACAGGACAGGAGCCTACCACAGAGAGCCTCTGAAAGACTCTACCCAGCAGGGTATCAAAGTAGATGCTGAGACTCATAGCCAAACTTTGGGCAGAGTGCAGGGAATCTTATGAAAGAAGGGGAAGTTAGAAAGACTTGCAGGGGACAGGAGCTCCACAAGGAGAGCAACAGAACAAAAAAAATCTTGGCACAGGGGTCTTTTCTGAGACTGATATGCCTTCAATTCTTAACAGTGTCCTGGCTATCTGCATTTAGATGAGGAGCCACTGACAGTGTTCAAATAGTCAGCTAGGCTAGCCAGCCCTGACTTGAATCCCTTCACTTCACTTGGCTAATCCATAAAAACATTCCCCACTACCTTTTCTGCCAAGGTAATAGAACAGCACATGATGACAAGACTGCACAGTCCAAGCGACCCTGGGCTTGAGCCTGCACCTTAAAGAAAGAATCCTTTCCCTAAACTATCATTTCCTTTCAATTCACATCTCCTTAGCAGGTTCCTGAAAGTGGGTCTCTGGTCTCACTGAATAAAGATTCCAAGAAGAAGTCCAGGGATTTGGGGCAACAGACCAAATATTCTATATAACCTATTAGCTAAAAAGAAAAGAAAATAAATAGCAGAATGGTTTGGCAAACTGTTTGTCAAAGGTCCACTGTTAAAAGCTGAGTCCTTGGGACTGGAGAGATGGCTTAGCAGTTAAGAGGACCTGCTGCTCTAGTACAGGACCAGAGTTCAATTCTCAGCACTCACACAGCAGTTCATAACCATCTATAACTACCACTCCACCCTGTTCTGGACTCTGTGGTCAGCAGGTGCATGCCAGCAAATATTTGTATAGTAAATAAATATTAAAAAAAAAATGGAAGTTTAAGGCAAGACCTTAGAAGTCCTTAGATCTCCTGAGGATATCTTCCCAGGGGATTGTAGGATCCTGGCCCTTCCTCTTTTGCGTCCACTCCCTTGCCTGTGGTGAGATGAGTGGTTTTGGCCTGCTACATGGTCTTGTCATGGTGTGTGGGCTCACCATGGCCCAGAGCATTATTTGATCACACACTTGAAATTCCAAAACTATACAATGCGCTAAAACCTTTTCTCTTCCAAGTAGAACTTGGATTTTTTTTTTCATAGTGACAGAAAGTTGATTGATATACAGAAGTGGTCCTTGTAGCTTTAGATGCCCTGGGAGCTTGCAGCTCTCCCAGGAAGTGGTGGTCATACCGTCACTATAATTACCTATCTTCTGATTGTGTTCCTTAAATGTGGAAAGAAAGTGCACCAGCGCTTAAGCCGTAACTTAGAAATGATCAGAATGAGATCTTAGAGTAAGCAATGTGAGCCCAGTCCCTGTTGCAGTGGGTTGTGACCAGCCCTGCATCTACTGGGCACTGCTTCTGAGCAGACCCCAACATGTAGGATGATATGGACAATGAAGGTACGTAACATAAAACCACAAAGACAGTTGGTACCAGGAAAGCATTCCTGTGGACCGGCAGTTCTGGCTTCCTTCATTTTCACCAAGGCTGTCACTTTGATGGGTACCAGGACCCTGACCTTGGCCCATTTCTCCATGTGGACAAGGCAGGGAGGGAGGCTGCCTATACACCAAGCACAGGTACATCCCAAGTAGCCAGCTTCCTTCTTCCCAGGGCGGAGGCAGCTGTCTTTGGGGCCTGTGGTTCTTGGAACTCCTGTTTCCTGCCATATGCCAGAGCTCCCCACATACAGTAAACCCAGTCTCACCACCAACCAAAAGATCCTTCAATCCAGCACAGCTTTTCAAAACATTTCAGCTACTTGTACAGGGACAAGAAAAGACCTGGGTTGACTGTCCATATGGATTTTTAAGTAGCTAGCTTGGGTTTTAAGTAAAATAACCCCTGTAAGAAGACAGACAGAGGAAGAATACTATGATAGCATTTCCATATGCCCTCTCTACTTCTTCTTTGAGAGAGGGTCCTCACGGTGTAGCACTGGCTGACCTAGAAGTCTTTATGTAAAAGAGGTCAGCCTTGAACCTGCCTCTGCCTCCTGAGTGTTGGGATTAAAGGTGCTCCATCATGCCCAGGTTCTATGCTGCCTTTATAAAAGATCAAATGTTTTAGGTGAGCATAGTTTATCATGGGAGATTATAAGAATTCTTTCTTTAACTATCTTTTAATTGCATTTATTCATTTATTTATTATTTATATGTGGGTATGTCTGAGTACTGTGTATGGAGAAGACAGAAGATGATTTTCAGAAGTCACTTCTCTCCTTCTTCCAGGTGGGCCCTAGGGGTTCTAACTCAGTCATCTGTTTGATGGCAAAGGGCCTTCTGAGCCATCTCATCTGCCCAAGTATATTTTTAAAGTAAAATGAATAACCATGTGGCCCTTGATGGAGTTATAGCAGAGACTATAAGGAAAACAGAAGAAACCATGGCAACCTCATCTGTGAAGAATTCTTTCAGCCATTCTTATCCCACTCTGCATCTGTCAGAGGCAGGAAAAACGACACTGCAAAGATGGAAACGGGGACCAGAAAGCAGAGCTTCCAAATGACAATCTACAAGCCTTTAAAATGCTCTTTCCTGAAGGATGGTCCCTCAGCATCCAACCACCTGGATCAATCACGAGCTGAAAGGAATCTCTATGCTAATAAATCTTCCTGCATGTCTTCAGGAGAGGGAAGAGATGCACACACAGGCAGCGCCCAGCCTCACCTTCAAGGTCAGCCTCACAGCATTACAGTTCTCCTGCAGGGGGTTCAGCTTCAGCGTCTCCCCGAGGTTGCTGCATCCGGACGAGTGGTGCTGCAGCTCACAGCACACACACACCTCCACGCTGTCGAACTTGATCTAAACGGGAACACAGACAAGCCTCACCGTTAGCGTGGCATTTGGCCTCGGAGGCAAGACATAATAAGGACGTGTGAAACGGCTCCATTGGAAACTTACCGTTACAGCTAAAGCCATTCTCATTGACCAAGGCCATGAATGCCACCATGAAGTACTTCAACTTTTTTTTTTAAAGCATTGATAAAAAAAAAAAGAAAGAAAGAAAGAAAGAAAGAAAGGAAGGAAGGAAGGAAGGAAGGAAGGAAGGAAGGAAGGAAGGAAG